CACTAACGTGACATCGAGGCTCACACTAACGTGCCATCGTGGCCCACACTAACGTGTCACCATGGCCCACACTAACGTGTCACCGTGGCCCACACTAACGTGCCACCGTGGCCCACACTAACGTGACATCGAGGCCCACACTAACGTGACATCGTGGCCCACACTAACTTGCCATCGTGGCCCACACTAACGTGACATCGAGGCCCACACTAACGTGACATCGAGGCCCACACTAACGTGTCACCGTGGCCCACACTAACGTGTCACCGTGGCCCACACTAACGTGTCATCGTGGCCCACACTAACGTCTCATCGTGGCCCACACTAACGTGACATCGTGGCCCACACTAACGTGCCACCGTGGCCCACACTAACGTGCCATCGTGGCCCACACTAACGTGCCACCGTGGCCCACACTAACTTGTCATCGTGGCCCACACTAACGTGTCATCGTGGCCCACACTAACGTGACATCGTGGCCCACACTAACGTGTCATCGTGGCCCACACTAACGTGCCACCATGGCCCACACTAACGTGTCATCGTGGCCCACACTAACGTGCCACCATGGCCCACATTAACGTGACATCGTGGCCCACACTAACGTGCCACCGTGGCCCACACTAACGTGCCATCGTGGCCCACACTAACGTGCCACCGTGGCCCACATTAACGTGACATCGATGCCCACACTAACGTGCCACCGTGGCCCACACTAACGTGTCATCGTGGCCCACACTAACGTGCCACCGTGGCCCACACTAACGTGTCATCGTGGCCCACACTAACGTGACATCGTGGCCCACGCTAACGCGTGCCACCGTGGCCCACGCTAACGCGTGCCACCGTGGCCCACGCTAACGCGTGCCACCGTGGCCCACACTAACGTGTCATCGTGGCCCACGCTAACACGTGACATCATGGCCCACACTAACGTGTCATCGTGGCCCACACTAACGTGTCATCGTGGCCCACACTAACGTGCCATCGTGGCCCACACTAACGCGTGCCATCGTGGCCCACACTAACGCGTGTCACCGTGGCCCACGCTAACGCGTGCCATAGTGGCCCGCACTAACGCGTGTCACCGTGGCCCACACTAACGCGTAACATCGCGGCCCACACTAACACATGCCACCGTGGCCCACACTAACGTGTCATCGTGGCCCACACTAACGTGCCATCGCGGCCCACACTAACACGTGCCATCGTGGCCCACGCTAACGCATGCCACCGTGGCCCACGCTAACGCGTGCCACCGTGGCCCACGCTAACGCGTGCCACCGTGGCCCACGCTTACGCGTGCCACCGTGGCCCACGCTAACGCATGCCACCGTGGCCCACACTAACGTGTCATCGTGGCCCACGCTAACACGTGACATCATGGCCCACACTAACGTGTCATCGTGGCCCACACTAACGTGTCATCGTGGCCCACACTAACGTGCCATCGTGGCCCACACTAACGCGTGCCATCGTGGCCCACACTAACGCGTGCCACCGTGGCCCACGCTAACGCGTGCCATAGTGGCCCACACTAACGCGTGCCACCGTGGCCCACATTAACGTGTAACATCGCGGCCCACACTAACACATGCCACCGTGGCCCACATTAACGTGTCATCGTGGCCCACACTAACGTGCCACCGTGGCCCACATTAACGTGACATCGAGGCCCACACTAACGTGTCACCGTGGCCCACACTAACGTGTCATCGTGGCCCACACTAACGTGCCATCGTGGCCCACACTAACGTGTCATCGTGGCCCACACTAACGTGTCATCGTGGCCCACACTAACGTGTCACCGTGGCCCACACTAACGTGTCATCGTGGCCCACACTAACGTGTCATCGTGGCCCACACTAACGTGTCATCGTGGCCCACACTAACGTGTCACCGTTGCCCACACTAACGTGTCATCGAGGCCCACACTAACGTGTCATCGTGGCCCACACTAACGTGCCATCGTGGCCCACACTAACGTGTCATCGTGGCCCACACTAACGTGCCATCGTGGCCCACACTAACGTGTCATCGTGGCCCACACTAACGTGTCATCGTGGCCCACACTAACGTGTCATCGTGGCCCACACTAACGTGACATCGAGGCCCACACTAACGTGTCATCGTGGCCCACACTAACGTTTAATCGTGGCCCACACTAACGTGTCATCGTGGCCCACACTAACACGTGACATCGAGGCCCACACTAACGTGCCATCGTGGCCCACACTAACGTGTGCCATCGTGGCCCACACTAACGTGTGCCACCATGGCCCACACTAACGCGTGCCACCGTGGCCCACACTAACGCGTGCCACCGTGGCCCACACTAACGTGTCATCGTGGCCCACACTAACGTGTCATCGTGGCCCACACTAACGTGCCATCGTGGCCCACACTAACGTGTCATCGTGGCCCACACTAACGTGCCATCGTGGCCCACACTAACGTGTCATCGTGGCCCACACTAACGTGTCATCGTGGCCCACACTAACGTGTCATCGTGGCCCACACTAACGTGTCATCGTGGCCCACACTAACGTGCCATCGTGGCCCACACTAACGTGCAATCGTGGCCCACACTAACGTGTCATCGTGGCCCACACTAACACGTGACATCGAGGCCCACACTAACGTGCCATCGTGGCCCACACTAACGTGTGCCATCATGGCCCACACTAACACATGCCATCGTGGCTCACACTAACGCGTGTCATCGTGGCCCACACTAACGCGTGCCACCGTGGCCCACACTAACGCGTGCCACCGTGGCCCACACTAACACATGCCATCGTGGCTCACACTAACGCGTGTCATCGTGGCCCACACTAACGCGTGCCACCGTGACCCACACTAACGTGCCACCGTGGCCCACACTAACGTGACATCGAGGCCCACACTAACGTGTCACCGTGGCCCACATTAACGTGTCACCGTAGCCCACACTAACGTGACATTGAGGCCCACACTAACGTGACATCGAGGCCCACACTAACGTGTCACCGTGGCTCACACTAACGTGTCATCATGGCCCACACTAACGTGCCACCGTGGCCCACACTAACGTGACATCGAGGCCCACACTAACGTGACATCGAGGCTCACACTAACGTGCCATCGTGGCCCACACTAACGTGTCACCATGGCCCACACTAACGTGTCACCGTGGCCCACACTAACGTGCCACCGTGGCCCACACTAACGTGACATCGAGGCCCACACTAACGTGACATCGTGGCCCACACTAACTTGCCATCGTGGCCCACACTAACGTGACATCGAGGCCCACACTAACGTGACATCGAGGCCCACACTAACGTGTCACCGTGGCCCACACTAACGTGTCACCGTGGCCCACACTAACGTGTCATCGTGGCCCACACTAACGTCTCATCGTGGCCCACACTAACGTGACATCGTGGCCCACACTAACGTGCCACCGTGGCCCACACTAACGTGCCATCGTGGCCCACACTAACGTGCCACCGTGGCCCACACTAACTTGTCATCGTGGCCCACACTAACGTGTCATCGTGGCCCACACTAACGTGACATCGTGGCCCACACTAACGTGTCATCGTGGCCCACACTAACGTGCCACCATGGCCCACACTAACGTGTCATCGTGGCCCACACTAACGTGCCACCATGGCCCACATTAACGTGACATCGTGGCCCACACTAACGTGCCACCGTGGCCCACACTAACGTGCCATCGTGGCCCACACTAACGTGCCACCGTGGCCCACATTAACGTGACATCGATGCCCACACTAACGTGCCACCGTGGCCCACACTAACGTGTCATCGTGGCCCACACTAACGTGCCACCGTGGCCCACACTAACGTGTCATCGTGGCCCACACTAACGTGACATCGTGGCCCACACTAACGTGCCACCGTGGCCCACATTAACGTGACATCGTGGCCCACACTAACGTGCCACTGTGGCCCACACTAACGTGTCATCGTGGCCCACACTAACGTGACATCGTGGCCCACACTAACGCGTGCCACCGTGACCCACACTAACGTGCCATCGTGGCCCATACTAACGTGACATCGAGGCCCACACTAACGTGCCACCGTGGCCCACACTAACGTGACATCGTGGCCCACACTAACGTGACATCGAGGCCCACACTAACGTGACATCGAGGCCCACACTAACGTGACATCGAGGCCCACACTAACGTGACATCGAGGCCCACACTAACGTGTCACCATGGCCCACACTAACGTGACATCGAGGCCCACACTAACGTGACATCGAGGCCCACACTAACGTGACATCGAGGCCCACACTAACGTGACATCGAGGCCCACACTAACGTGTCACCATGGCCCACACTAACGTGACATCGTGGCCCACACTAACGTGACATCGAGGCCCACACTAACGTGACATCGAGGCCCACACTAACGTGTCACCATGGCCCACACTAACGTGACATCGAGGCCCACACTAACGTGCCATCGTGGCCCACACTAACGTGACATCGAGGCCCACACTAACGTGTCACCATGGCCCACACTAACGTGACATCGAGGCCCACACTAACGTGACATCGAGGCCCACACTAACGTGTCACCGTGGCCCACACTAACGTGACATCGAGGCCCACACTAACGTGTCACCGTGGCCCACACTAACGTGACATCGTGGCCCACACTAACGTGTCACCGTGGCCCACACTAACGTGACATCGTGGCCCACACTAACGTGACATCGAGGCCCACACTAACGTGTCACCGTGGCCCACACTAACGTGACATCGTGGCCCACACTAACGTGTCACCGTGGCCCACACTAACGTGACACCGTGGCCCACACTAACGTGACATCGAGGCCCACACTAACGTGACATCGTGGCCCACACTAACGTGTCACCGTGGCCCACATTAATGTGTCATCGTGGCCCACACTAACGTGTCACCGTGGCCCACATTAACGTGTCATCGTGGCCCACACTAACGCGTGTCATCGTCTCCAGGGCCTGGGCTTCAGCATCGTGGGCGGGGCGCGACTCGACACGCGGCGTCATGGGAATCTTCGTGAAGACCGTCTTCCCCGGGGGGCCGCTGCCATGGATGGCCGGCTGCGTGAGGGTGAGGGCGAGGGTGATGGTGAGGGTGATGGTGATGGTGAGGGTGAGGGTGATGGTGAGGGTGAGGGTGATGGTGAGGGTGAGGGTGATGGTGATGGTGAGGGTGATGGTGAGGGTGATGGTGAGGGTGAGGGTGATGGTGATGGTGAGGGTGATGGTGAGGGTGATGGTGATGGTGAGGGTGATGGTGAGGGTGATGGTGATGGTGAGGGTGATGGTGATGGTGAGGGTGATGGTGAGGGTGAGGGTGATGGTGAGGGTGATGGTGAGGTGAGGGTGATGGTGAGGGTGATGGTGAGGGTGAGGGTGATGGTGAGGGTGATGGTGAGGGTGATGGTGATGGTGAGGTTGAGGGTGATGGTGAGGGTGATGGTGAGGGTGATGGTGATGGCGAGGGTGATGGTGATGGTGAGGGTGATGGTGAGGGTGATGGTGAGGGCGAGGTTGAGGGTGATGGTGAGGGTGATGGTGAGGGTGATGGTGATGGTGAGGGTGATGGTGAGGGTGAGGGTGATGGTGAGGGTGATGGTGAGGATGAGGGTGATGGTGAGGGTGAGGGTGATGGTGATGGTGAGGGTGATGGTGAGGGTGAGGGTGATGGTGAGGGTGATGGTGAGGGTGATGGTGAGGGTGATGGTGATGGTGAGGGTGAGGGTGATGGTGATGGTGAAGGTGATGGTGATGGTGAGGGTGAGGGTGATGGTGATGGTGAGGGTGATGGTGATGGTGAGGGTGATGGTGAGGGTGAGGGTGATGGTGATGGTGAGGTGAGGGTGATGGTGAGGGCGAGGGTGATGGTGAGGGTGATGGTGATGGTGAGGGTGAGGGTGATGGTGAGGGTGAGGGTGATGGTGAGGGTGAGGGTGATGGTGTGGTGAGGGTGATGGTGAGGGTGATGGTGAGGGTGATGGTGTGGTGAGGGTGATGGTGAGGGTGTGGTGATGGTGAGGGTGATGATGATGGTGAGGGTGGTGGTGAGGGTGTGGTGAGGGTGATGGGGAGGGTGAGGGTGATGGTGAGGGTGATGGTGAGGTTGAGGGTGATGGTGAGGGTGATGGTGATGGTGAGGGTGATGGTGAGGGTGAGGGTGATGGTGAGGGTGATGGTGAGGGTGATGGTGATGGTGAGGTTGAGGGTGATGGTGATGGTGAGGGTGAGGGTGATGGTGAGGGTGATGGCGAGGGTGATGGCGAGGGTGATGGTGATGGTGATGGCGAGGGTGATTGTGATGGTGATGGCGAGGGTGATGGTGATGGTGAGGGTGATGGTGATGGTGATGGTGAGGGTGAGGGTGATGGTGAGGGTGATGGTGATGGCGAGGGTGATGGTGAGGGTGATGGTGAGGGTAAGGGTGATGGTGAGGGTGATGGTGAGGGTGATGGTGATGGTGAGGGTGATGGTGAGGGTGATGGTGATGGCGAGGGTGATGGTGAGGGTGATGGTGAGGGTGATGGTGATAGTGAGGGTGATGGTGATGGCGAGGGTGATGGTGATGGTGATGGCGAGGGTGATGGTGATGGTGAGGGTGATGGTGATGGTGATGGTGAGGGTGAGGGTGATGGTGAGGGTGATGGTGATGGCGAGGGTGATGGTGAGGGTGATGGTGAGGGTAAGGGTGATGGTGAGGGTGATGGTGAGGGTGATGGTGATGGTGAGGGTGATGGTGAGGGTGATGGTGATGGCGAGGGTGATGGTGAGGGTGATGGTGAGGGTGATGGTGATAGTGAGGGTGATGGTGAGGGTGATGGTGGGGTGATGGTGAGGGTGATGGTGAGGGTGATGGTGAGGGTGATGGGTGATGGTGAGGGTGATGGTGATGGTGAGGGTGATGGCGAGGTGATGGTGATGGTGAGGGTGATGGTGATGGTGAGGGTGATGGTGATGGTGAGGGTGATGGTGATGGTGAGGGTGATGGTGATGGTGAGGGTGAGGGTGATGGCGAGGGTGATGGTGATGGTGAGGGTGATGGTGATGGTGATGGTGAGGGTGAGGGTGATGGTGATGGTGATAGTGATGGTGATGGTGAGGGTGATGGCGAGGGTGATGGTGAGGGTGATGGTGATGGTGATGGTGAGGGTGATGGTGATGGTGAGGGTGATGGTGATGGTGAGGTGATGGTGATGGTGAGGGTGAGGGTGATGGCGAGGGTGATGGTGATGGTGAGGGTGATGGTGATGGTGATGGCGAGGGTGAGGGTGATGGTGAGGGTGATGGTGATGGTGAGGGTGATGGTGATGGTGAGGGTGATGGTGAGGGTGATGGTGAGGGTGATGGTGATGGTGAGGGTGATGGTGATGGTGAGGGTGATGGTGAGGGTGACGGTGATGGTGAGGGTGATGGTGAGGGTGATGGTGATGGTGAGGGTGATGGTGAGGGTGATGGTGATGGTGAGGGTGATGGTGAGGGTGATGGTGAGGTGATGGTGATGGTGAGGGTGATGGTGAGGGTGATGGTGATGGTGAGGGTGATGGTGAGGGTGATGGTGATGGTGAGGGTGATGGTGAGGGTGATGGTGAGGGTGATGGTGATGGTGAGGGTGATGGTGAGGGTGATGGTGATGGTGAGGGCCTGACACGCGCTGCCCCTTTCGAGCGCAATCGCAGCAGTGAAGGTGGTCTCGAGTTGCCACCTGTCCTGGCTCCACCCGGGACATTTGTAAGTCTTGGTGAGTGGGTGGCTGAGTTAGTGGGCGGGTGAGTGAGTGAATGGATGAGTGGGTAGGTGGGTAGGTGATTGAGTGGATGATAGGGAGCGGTGGTGCAGTGGTTAACGCACTGCGCTTCGAACCTGGTGACCCAAGTTCGATTTCTCGCTCACGGCTACGACCAGCAACGATTATATAAATCGGCCTTGGCATGCCCTAGATCGACTCAGCCTCAAATGAATACTTGGTGCGGTGTGCAAACATCGCCACTCTGGAGACAAAGGCGGACGGGCGTAGTTCTGGCCACCCAGCCCCTCGTTCCGGCCTTAAATAGGTGCTACTCGCTCACAACACTTGCCCCAACAGAACTTTGTCATTGTGCGCTTCTCTGGCAGGCGATGAGCTGCTGGAGGTGAACGGGGAGCCCGTGCGCGGCCTCACCCACCTGCAGGCCATCGCCACTTTCAAGGTGAGCATGGCGAAATGCAGGCGGGCGAGATCGATTCTCAGGGTCACGATTCGTGAGTTCAATGTGGAGGACATGGTGGTGGTGCTGCAGGTTGGACTATTAAAAAAAACTGGTCAGAACATAGGAGACAGAACTGAACAATACAAACGGTGGGTGCCACGTGGTTGAGGCGCTGCCCCCTTGTCGCTGACCCCTGACCCTGTGACCCCTAGCGGCTGCCCCGCGGCGTGGTGACGTTGGCTGTGCGCGCTCCTTTCTGCGGCGCCGCCACCTTTGACCTCGCCTTCGACGTGACCTTTGGCCTCACCCCGAGCTCCGGTCATGTGACTGGGAAAGCGAGCGACCCCATGGACCAGATCGTCGTGGAGGTCACGCTTATGAAAGGTCAAGGGTCATCACAGAGTTTTAGGGTCAAATACACGGGGCTGGGGGGGGAGCGGTGGGATGGGGGCGAAAGGGCGGTGGAGGGGTCATGCAAACATGGGTTGAGTGGTCACTCGCCCGGCAAGAGGTGAGTATGCAGGTGACCTTACAGGTGAGTGTACATGCAAGTGTGCAGGTGAGCATTCAGGTGAGCGTACAGGTGAGCATAGAGTGTGCAGGTGAACAGACAGGTGAGCAGAGAGAGAGAGCGCATGCAGGTGTAAAGGTCAGCATGTGGGTACCTACAATACTGCATATGAGTGAGCAGGTGAGCGTGCAGGTGAGTAGCATGCCCCCCCCCCACCCTCCCCCCACAGAGCGAGGCGTGGGTCTCGGGATCGGCGTGTGCTGTGTCTCAGCTGAGAGGGGCACGGGGGCAGCCGACCCCGAGAGGAGCCCGCGGGGGCCACGAGGGGCAGCAGGGCCCCCCAGGGTGTTCATCCTCTCCCTCGCTCCGGGCTCCGCCGCTCAGCTCAGCGGGCGACTCAGGTGAGGGCGGAGGTCACTGGGGTCACGCAGAGGTCGCCTGCTCCCACTCCTCAACCCCTTGCAGGTGGAAGAGATTGCGAGGGTGTGAGCGAGGTGAGCTTGAGGGTGAGTGAGTTTCAGGTGAGTGTGCAGGTGAGCGAGCAGGTGAGAGAGCAGGTGGGCGATGTGAATGGTAAAGGTCAGAGGTCAGGCGAGACCGTGTTGGTAGGTGTGTATGTGAATGTATGCGTGTGAATGAGTGCATGTGGGTATAAGTGCGCATGTGGGTGAATGTGTTTACATTGGTGTGGATGTATGTGTGTACGTATGTGTGCACATGTAAGTGTGTGTGTCTTTGGAGTGCATATTTGTATAGCAGGGAGCGGTGGCGCAGCGGTTAGCGCAATGCGCCATGAACCCGGCAATCTTTTTTCGATTCCAGCTCCCGGCCAACATCAGTGGTGATGACCTGTACCGGTCCTGGGCCTCCCCTAAGTAAACTCAGCCTTAAATAAGTACCTGTTGCTGTGTATACATATAAAGAATGAGGAGATTAAGGCAGTCAGGCGCAATGTTGGCTACACCACGCAATTGAGCGCTGTTTCTGGCCTTAATAAGTGCTTGCTAACAGCACTTACATGTGTGTATGTGGTGTGTGGTGTGTGTGGTGTGTATGTGTGGTGTGTATGTGTGGTGTGTATGTGGTGTGTGTGGTGTGTGTGTGGTGTGTATGTGTGGTATGTGGTGTGTATGTGTGGTGTGTGTGTGTGTATGTGTGGTGTGTATGTGTGGAGTGTGTGTGGTGTGTATGTGTGGTGTGTATGTGTGGTGTGTGTGGTGTGTATGTGTGGTGTGTGTGTAGTGTGTATATGTGGTGTGTGTGTGTGGTGTGTATGTGGGTTGTGTGGCATGTGAGTGTGTGGTGTGGTGTGTGTGTGTGGTGTGTATGTGTGGTGTGTACGTGGAGCGTACGTGGTGTGTACGTGGTGCCTACGTGTTGCGTGTGTGGTGCGTGTGTGGTGCGTGTGTGGTGCGTGTGTGGTGCGCGGTGCGGTGCCAGGCGTGGTGACCAGGTGCTGGAGGTGGCCGGCCGCAGTCTGTGCCGTGCCGGCCGTGGTCTGGCCGAGGCATTTGCGCTGCTGAGCGAGCGAGAGCCAGGGCCCGTGACCATCCTCGTGAGCCGGCACACCGACCCCACGGTGAGACCCGCACTGGCACACCGACCCCGCGGTGAGGCCTGCACTGGCACACCGACCCCACGGTGAAGCCTGAACTAACACACACGCCCGCACTGGCACGCCATTGTCATTGTGGTGACCGAGGTCCGTCTTGCAAATGAGACTCGTCCTGGTCTCTCGAGTTCCCACCGGCTTGCACAGACTCAACTTGACAACGCACTTGGCACACGAGCCCCCTGCTCACGGCAGCGTAGCCCATCGGCAGCCGACGATGGCACCTGTGGTATGCATGGTGGTGGTCGCACATCCAAACACGATCCGCGCTCAATCCTGCTCAGCGTTTGAGATCTGGAGGTTCCGAGTAAAGAAAATCCGATCGGTAGCGATCGTCACTGGATCCGAAGCAGTGTCGGTGACGCGTCAAGTACTCATTGTGCGTCACTCACTACACCAGCCAATCAGCCGCCATGAAGATAACCCCCCATGCAACATGGCCGCTGTGAAGTCCCCACGCAACATGGCTGCCGCGACGTCATCTCTCCATGTGCATGAGCTGGTCTGCCGCTGAGATCAGTCGTGTATTTATACTGGTAGGAACGAAGTGGACCAGCCTACAATAGATTATATCGTCCGTCCGTTTGTCCGTCCGTCCATCCGTCCATCCGTGTAGCAACATCGCCCCCTACTGCAAACACTTGGCATGACCCTACAAAAACCTTTAGACTCAGTGACGCTTTCCTGGTTAAACAAGTGTAACATTCCCTTATAATTCCCTCAGATAGCTTTTAATTAAAATATTTAAATTAATGAGGCTTTCCTGGCTAAACAAGTGTAACATTCCCTTATAATTCCCTGAGATAGCTTTTAATTAAAACTTGTAAATTAAAATTTAACTCACAGCTAGGCCTAAAGCCTAGACCTAGGCCTCAAACTCTCCCTTCGTATCGTACCCCCGCGTGTGTGAAAGGGAGTTAATGTTTTACAATGTTACATTCCCTGATGCTTTTAAATAGAAACATTTAAATTTAAAGCTTTTACATGAATAATAAAAACAGTTAAATTAAAAATTAACTCACGGCGGCCTAAAGCCTACAGCTAGGCCTAAAGCCTAGACCTAGGCCTCAAACTCTCCCTTCGTATCGTACCCCCGCGTGTGTGAAAGGGAGTTAATGTTTAACAATGTTACATTCCCTGATGTTTTTTAATAGAAACATTTACATTTAAAGCTTTTACATTAAAAACAACTCCCTACCCCCCCCCCCCTCGTCGGCGGCTCTCCAGCCTAGAGCCAGGCCTGGGAATCTCTCCCCCGCTAGGGGTGTATTGGGCGGGGGTACAGCGGCAGGGGGCGGGGCTACGCGGGGCTGGGCGGGGCAACGGCAGCAGGGGGCGTGGGCACGAGGTGGAGGGCGGGGCTACGCGGGGTTGGGGCGGGGTTACGGCGGTAAGGGGCGGGGCAACGAGCTGGGGCCGGGGACACCGAGCTTCTCAACACCAAACATTGCGTCCAGAATGCCGCTTCACTTGTGGGATTGCACCCACCTCTTGGCCCCCTCGACTTCACTGGTGGTACACACCAAACGACAGCGCTGCATATCGTGCAGATTGTTACTACTCACTGTGTCTGCTCCAAGCTGCACTCACGTAGGTACATACTTGTGCAATACTATTATTTTTTGCACAACGGTTACTACTACTTTATTGTTTCCTATGTTCCACTACGTCTACGTTTCCATCCACTTATTGGCACCCATTTTTTGCCATTTCATTTTATTATAGCCATTCAATTGTTCGTTCCTACCAGCCCACCCCGCAGGGTCCTGTTTATGTTAATTTATTCAAAGTTGTATGTTTCTTTTACTGTGACAGTCTACGTATGAGTGGTCTCGACCGCCCCTGAATCCTCGCCTAACGTCCGCAATTTCTTGTTGCGTAACTCCCGTATGGTTTCGGAGTTCAGGACAAAAGGGCCGTCCATAAATGACGTCACGCACCTGGGGGGGGGGGGGGTCAGACATTTGTGACGATGTGTGACGAGGGGGGGGGGGAGTTTGATAGATGTGACGTCACATCAAAATGCGTAACTTTAAATAAATATAGACAACACGTTCTACTTAATTAATAAATGTTTTCTCCTACAACATCAGAGTGCAGTGCCACATTAAATACGCACTACAATGACAATAGTTTAAAACTATTTGAAGCATGCTTTATTTTTTTGGGGGGGCGGGCAGAACTTGTGACGTCATATTTGAGGGGGGGGTCTGACTTTGTGACGCCGTGTGACGAGGGCGGGGGTAAAAAATATTTAAAAATCGCGTGACGGTCATTTATGGACGGCCCCTTAAATGAGTAGTACCGTGTGCTGTGCGTAGTAAGCTGCAGCACGCGGGCTTGGTGCAGGCCACACCAGCCCCTCGTCCGCGCCATTGTCGCTGCTCCCGACGACCTTGCCTGATGCTCGCTAGCAGCACTTGCCCCATCAGCCTGTGTAGGCTACCCGGGGACCTTTGCCTGATGCTCGCTAGCAGCACTTGCCCCATCAGCCTGTGTAGGCTACCCGGGGACCTTTGCCTGATGCTCGCTAGCAGCACTTGCCCCATCAGCCTGTGTAGGCTACCCGGGGGACCTTTGCCTGATGCTCGCTAGCAGCACTTGCCCCATCAGCCTGTGTAGGCTACCCGGGGGACCTTTGCCTGATGCTCGCTAGCAGCACTTGCCCCATCAGCCTGTGTAGGCTACCCGGGGGACCTTTGCCTGATGCTCGCTAGCAGCACTTGCCCCATCAGCCTGTGTAGGCTACCCGGGGGACCTTTGCCTGATGCTCGCTAGCAGCACTTGCCCCATCAGTCTGTGTAGGCTACCCGGGGGACCTTTGCCTGATGCTCGCTAGCAGCACTTGCCCCATCAGCCTGTGTAGGCTACCCGGGGGACCTTTGCCTGATGCTCGCTAGCAGCACTTGCCCCATCAGCCTGTGTAGGCTACCCGGGGGACCTTTGCCTGATGCTCGCAGCAGCACTTGCCCCATCAGCCTGTGTAGGCTACCTGGGGGACCTTTGTCCGCGTGTGACGCGTCACACGCAGCGTGGTGTGAATGGGACATTCCGCTCGTGTCCGTTTGTGAGCGGTTGTTGATTCTTGTTGACAACCGAAAGGGCGAACACACTAACACACTGTGACACACACACTAACACACTGTGACACACACACTGTGACACACACACTAACACACACTAACACACTGTGACACACAACCCACACACTGTGACCACACACTGTGACACACACACTAACACACGGTGACACACACTAACACACTGACACACACACACTATGACACACACACTAATACACTGTGACACACACACACTAACACACTGTGACACACACACACACTAACACACTGTGACACACACACACTAACACACTGTGACACGGCACACACTGTGACACAACACACATCGTGACACACACACACTAACACACTGTGACACACTCTGTGTGACGCGCAGGTGTCGGAGCGAGCCATGCACGAAGCCATCCTGCGCCCCGGTGCCAGCTCTGCGGCGCTGGGGCCGAGGTGGAGGCGTGGGGCGGTGAGGAGGAGGAGGAGGAGGGGGGAGGGGGGGTTGAGGAGGAAGGGGGGGAGGGGTGAGGAGGAGGGGGGAGGGGTGAGGAGGAGGATTGAGGAGGAAGGGGGAGGGGTGAGGAGGGGGAGAGGGTGAGGAGGAAGGGGGAGGGGTGAGGGGGGGGGAGGGGTGAGGAGGGGGAGAGGGTGAGGAGGAAGGGGGAGGGGTGAGGAGGGGGGAGGGGTGAGGAGGGGGGGGGGGGTGAGGAGGAAGGGGGAGGGGTGAGGAGGGGGGGAGGGGTGAGGAGGGGGGGGGGGCTCCTCACTAGTTACTCGTTAACCCGGCGCCTTTATGGCTCAGCCTGAGACCCTGTTCCACTGCGTGCGCTGTACAAGGGAGGAGGGGGAGTCTTGTACAAGTGCGTGTGTGTGTGTTCGTGTGTGTGTGTGTTCGTGTTGTGTGTGTTCGTGTGTGTGTTCGTGTGTGTGTTCGTGTGTGTGTGTTCGTGTGTTCGTGTTCGTGTGTGCACCTGTGCTTCACCGGGTATCTCGTCTCCCTTCTGCGTTCCTCCTTTCTAACCCGAACTTCTCCTCGTCTCTCGACCTCCTCGTCACCCTCCTCCTCGTCCTCCTCGTGTTGTCGTCTCCTCTCTGGACGTTCTCTCCCGTCCCACCCGCCCGAATCTCCCTGCCTCCTTCCCCGGTCCTACACATCTCCCTGCCGTCGCCTCCTCCATCGCCCCACATTGTCAAACACCCCGCTCTCCTCCTCCTCCACCACCCCTTATCTGTCTTTCTCACCTGACGACCTTCTGACACATCGCCTGCCGTTCTTCTCACTCATCTGCCTACCTTTGGCTCCCCGTGGTCCCTCTCCTCTCCCTCCCCGATCGTCGTCACCTTCTTGCTGCCCCGTCCCACCACCACCCTCCTCCTCCCTGCTCCCCTGTCTCTGTCTCCTCAACCCCGTACCTCCCTCCTCCTACCTCTGCGTCTCACCTCTCTCCGTCCCCGTGTGTCTCTCTCATCCTCTCATTTGTGTTGCCCTGGTCTCCCATGGCCTCCCAGTTCCACACTCACGACCGGATCCAACCCGCGGCTGGCAGGGGGTTCTACACTGCGACCAGGTGCGTGATAGTGTGTGTGGTTTGATGGTGTGTGTGTGATAGTGTGTGTGTGTGATGGTGTGTGTGTGGTGGTGTGTGTGTGTGTGATGGTGTGTGTGTGTGTGTGATGGTGTGTTGTGTGATGGTGTGTGTGTGTGTGATAGTGGTGGTGTGATGGGTGTGTGTGTGATGGTGTGTGTGTGTGTGATGGTGTGTGTGTGTGATGGTGTGGTGTGATGGTGTGTGATGGTGTGTGTGTGTGTGTGATGGTGTGTTTGTGTGATAGTGTGTGTGTGATGGTGTGTGTGTGTGATAGTGTGTGTGTGATGGTGTGTGTGTGTGTGATGGTGTGTGTGTGATGGGTGTGTGTGTTAGCTGATGAAAGTTGCAAGCGGAATTTCATCATCGCTTGCAGCTGGGG